TGATCTACACCCCCAGACCCTCACTGGGGGTTTCTAGGCAGGAGCTCTACCACTGAGCCAGCTCCTCACTAGGGCATTCTAGGCTCGAAGCAATCTCATAGGTAGGGTGCCCCTTCTGTGTGCTCTGGCTATGTACCACGAGCTGTTAAGTTTCATCATTAATGCCAGACCCATGCTTGTCATCCCAGCACTAAAAAGTTTGAGACAGAAGATGAGTTCCAGGTTAACCTGAGGTACCTGAGACCCTACCTCAAAATGTTAACAGCTGGGCATGGTGGCACTCGCCATTATTCCCAGCACTGGAGAGAGGTCTGTGGATCTCTGTGAGTTGGAGGCTAGCCTGGTCTACATAGTGAGCTCCAGATCAGCCAAATTTACATAATGAAACACTGTCTCAAAAGGCTTAACAAATGAATATATCGATGACAATGCTGGTGAAGATTATACAATCATAATAACCCAGCTAGGACAGAAGATCTTCGTTTTGATCACCACTTTTTCCTTTTTTTTTTTTTTGGTATTTTTTTCAGACAAGGTCTCACTATGTATCTCTGGCTGTCCTCGAACTGTGCAGACCAGGCTGGCCTTGAACTCACAGAGATCTACCCGACTCTGCCTCCTGAGTGCTGGGATTAAAGGGGTGTGTCACCACATCCAACTTCTTCTTCCTCCCTCTTCCTCTTTAATAGAAGGGACTCCCTAAGACAGGAAGTAAACCTGGGGCGCTCTTGTAGCTTTGGAACTTTAGGGGTGAGGGAAAGAGAAAGTGAGAGGCACAGGGAGAGATGGGAAGGGAGGGAGGGAGAAAGAGAAAGAGAGGGACAGAAAGGCTGGGACAATGACTCTGGTTTAGAGTGCTTACCGCTCTTACAGAGAGCACACCTTTGGTTCCCAGTGCCCAAATGGTGGCTCTCAACCACCTCACTCCAGCTAACAGGAATCCTATGCCGTCTTCTGCACTAATACGCACACAATCCCCAGACATACATACAAATATATGCACAGTTAAAAATAATTTCTTGGTGGCGGTGACGGTGTCGGCGGCACATGCCTTTAATCCTAGCACCCAGGAGGCAGACGCAGGTCTGTTCGAGGTCTACAGAGTGAGTCCCAGGATAACTAGGGCTACACAGAGAAACCCTATCTTGAAAAACTAAAAAGAAAAAGAGGATGAGAAGAAAGGAAAGACAGAAGAAGAAAAGAGGGGGAGGGGCACTGCAGGACAGTGACTGGCGGGGACCAAAGACCCCTTTATGCATCTGTTTTTCCTTCCTTCCTTCCTTCCTTCCTTCCTTCCTTCCTTCCTTTCCTTCCTTCCTTCCTCCTTTCCTTCCTCATTTCCCTGTCCCATTTCTCTTTATTTTTGAGATGGGATCTCACATAGCTCAGGCTGGCCTCAGACTCACTATTAGCCAAGGATGACCTTGAACTTCTGATCCTCCATCCTCCAACTCCCAAATGCTGACAAGTTTGTGACGCCATACCTGGTTTATCCAGTACTAGGAACTGAACCCACGACTTTGGTCATACAAGGCAATTACCAACTGAGCCACATCCCCACCTCTCCCCACTTTGAGATAGCATCTTGCTGTGTAGCTCAAACTGGCCTTGAACTTACAGCCATCCTCCTGCTGCAAGCCTCCCTAGTGCTGGGGTCAGAGTAGGGGACCACCACACCTGGGAGGTGTCCGTGTTTGAGGGACTTAGAGGGTTAGGGGTGACTCACGCGATCAGGATGACCAAGAAGACTAGGACGGCCAGTCCCACGGCCACCAAGTCGCCCACCAACACCATGTTCCTCAGGCTGTTGTCAGACTGGAACTTGAGGGTCATGCGGGGCTGCCCGTCCACTGGCCAGTTGGAAGTGGAATTTAGTGCCAAACCACGGCACCCTGTAGCCTCCTCCACCCCACTGTTCACCTGGCTCACCACCCAGGGCTGCGCCGGGCTCCCAAGCACCATTCACCACGGTGAGCACCACAGCCCAGCCGGTCCCAGCAACAGCCAAAAACTCCCTTCTTGTTGGATATGGGAAGGAAGCAAGAAGTTGGCTCCAAACCCAAGGACGGAACTGGGTGTGGTGGCTCACAAATGCCATCTAAACATGTGGACACTGAGGCAGGAGGACTACTCTGAGCTGAGGGCAGTCTGGGCGGCAGTGAGCCCCCGTGTCTTGAGGAGGAAAGCTGTTCCTCACCTCCCCACCATGACGACCATGGACTAAAGCTCTGAACTGCAAGTCAGCCACAATTAAACGCTTTCCTTTATAAGACTTGCCGTGGCCATGGAGTCTCTTCACAGCAGCAGAACACTAGGGCAGAAGCCGATACCAGTGATCAGGATATTGCTGTGCTTGATGGTGGAATGTGGACTTTGGATTAAGAAAGCAGTTGAACACTTTAAGTGGGGCTTAATGGGCCGCCCGTGTAGAAGACAGTGGTGCTGAGAGAGGCGGCCTGCGTCTAGAGGTTCTCAGAGAATAATACTAAAAGGGACTAGACACTGTTCTTGTGGTATTTTGGCAAAGAATGTGGCTGCTGTCTGCCCTTGTCCAAAACATCTGCCTAAGGCTAAACTGAAGAGTTCTCAATTAACGGTGTTCAAAACAGCTTAGCATTTACTAACTGTGTCATAGTGGCTGCTCATATGCAAACCTACAATGAAAAGAACAAGTTGAGCAAAGGGAAATAAAATGTGCAGTCTGAGGACAAAAGGGAAGTGGAATGGAGCTATGTCAGTGTTCAATGAGATTACAAGAGTAGAGAAAAGCCTGCTGTCAGGCAGCGGTGGCACACAACTTTAATCCCACACTGGGAAGGAGGAGGCAGAGGCAGGCGGATCTCTGTGAGTTTGAGGCCAGCCTGGTCCACAGAGCGAGTTCTAGGACAGGTTCCAAAACAATACAGAGAAACCCTGTCTCGAAAAACAAAGAAAAGCCTGATGCTAAATGGAAGAACGGGAGTGGTGACCTCAGGGAAGACCCCACCCAGCTAAGTTTTCAACCTGTGAAAAGGAGTAAAAAAAAAAAAAAAAAAAAAAAGCTTGGGGCTGGAGAGATGACTCAGGGGTTAAGTGTTCTGTTTGCTCCTTCAGAGGTCCTGAGTTCAATTCCCAGCAACCACATGGTGGTCACAGCCATCTATAAAGATATGGTGCCCTCTACTGGCCTGTAGACATACATGCAGGCAGAAACTATACATAATCTTTTTAAAAGAGAGAAAAGCTTAAGCAGTGAAGGAAAGGCTATCTGTTGAAAACGCATTTGAACAAGCGAACTAAGTTCCAGCTCTGGCAAGCAGCAGAATTTGGCTGTTTCAGCCATGTGGTTCTGGCTTTAGAATCAAGGATAGAAAGGGTTATGGACTCTCCCTCCATGGCTAAGGAAAGCTGCTGAGACCAAGCATGTGTCCAAGCTGTCCCCTAATGGAGGCTGTGGTGGGTTGAATGTCACTGGCCCCCATAAGCTCATAGGGTTGGCACTGTTGGGAGGCGTGGCCTTGTTGAAGGAAGTGTATCAGTGTGGGCAGGTTTGAGGTCTCTTTTCCTCAAGCTTCCCTCAGTGTGACATTCGGTCACTTCTGTTGCCTTCTAATCCAGATGCAGCCAGCAGCACGTGTGCCTGCACACCACCATGCTCCCCACAGTGAGGATGATGGCCTCAACCTCTGAACCGTTAGCTGCCACCTCAGCTAAATGCTTTCCTTTAGAAGAGCTGCTGTGGTCATGGTGTCTTCACAACAACAGAACATTAACTAAGACACAGGCCTATGAGGCTGTTGTGCGAAGCTGTGAAGGTGAAGCCTGCATTGCCTTGGAGACTCCAAGATGAAGAGATATCAGAGTCTTGGGATACCTGTGAGGAGAGCTGCTACCAGGCAGTGGAGCCAGCCCAAGAGAGAAGTGTGTTGCAGTCAACAGAGCTGAAAGGCGCTGGAGATCTGAAGCGCGCTTTGCCATTAGCCATGGAGATGCAGAGATGGAGTCTGCCCAGCTGGTTTTTTTTTTTTTTTTTTTTTTGGAGGCTGTCCTGGAACTCGCTCTGTAGACCAGGCTGGCCTCGAACTCACAGAGATCCGCCTGCCTCTGCCTCCCGAGTGTTGGGATTAAAGGCGTGCGCCACCACTGCCCGGCCACAACAACTCTTATAAAAGAAATCATTTGCCGGGCATTGGTGGCGCACGCCTTTAATCCCAACACTCGGGAGGCAGAGGCAGGCGGATCTCTGTGAGTTCGAGGCCAGCCTGTTCTACAGACTGAGTTCCAGGACAACCTCCAAAACAATACAGAGAAACCCTGTCCCAAAAAACAAAAATAAATAAATATGTAGACTAACATAACAAAGAGTAAAATGGGTAAAACAGAGGTGGAGGAGTGTGGAGTGCAGATGCAGTTTGGTGGAAAGTGATGTTTTAGGAAGTGTTACCATGACGACATGGCTTTGAGACCTAACAGGAGGCGGGACAGTAGTAGAGAGTAGGGATAGCAGGTGTCATGGCCAGGAGGATTCTTTGCACTGTTCTCTCTGCCAGAAGGATATGGGTATTTGTGCAATGTTTGAATGACTGACATCGTCAATCTTTCTATGCTTTTCACATATGAGAATATCTAAACATAAGCTTTGTTTTCTGAGATAGGATCTTCTCTCTCTCTCTCTGTGTGTGTGTGTGTGTGCGCGCGCGTGCCAGAAGTCGATGTAAGGTGTCTTCTTCAAACTCTTTTCATCCTGATTTTGACACAGGGTCTCTCACTGAACCTAGCACTTGCAAATCCATCCAGGCTGGCCAGTGAGCTTCAGAGTGGGTGGATCTGCAGACAGGAGTTATGTGGTTCAGGCTGGCTTTGAACTCCATATTCTCCTGCCTCGGCCTCCAAGTGCTTATCGAGAGTCTTGAAACCCACCTCCACAGGGACAAGGACTACAAGGAGCCTTGTAACCACCTCTGTGGGAACACGACTGTCTCTCACACGCCACCCCTGCCTTTTCCAAGCCCACAGCTTACCATAGCAGTACTTCTCTTTGATGCATTTGGGGGTGATTTTCTTGCAATGTAAACAGTCCAGGACCTCCTCTTTAAGCAAACCTAGGCAGGGGAAAGGGAGATGTGGAGAAAAGCAGAGCCCAGAGCTCAAGATCTGGAAAGAGCGGAGAAGGAGCAGGGCAAAAAGGGGGTGCGACCCCTGGGCCTCTGAATTTTGGAAGAGTCACTGCCTGGCACAGCAGATGGTTCAAATGACAGTGATTTTTTTTCTCTTAATTTCGTTCTTTGTTTGTTTGTTTGAGACAGGGTTTCTCTGTGTGGCCCTGGCTGTCCTGGAACTCGCTCTGTAGACCAGGCTGATCTTGAATGAAGAGATCTGCCTGCCTCTGCCTCCTGAGTGCTAGATTAAAGGCGTGTACCAGCACCTCCCGGCTCCAGAAATGATTTTTCTATCATTGAAGAGTTAAATGGAATTTCGATAGCCAGGTGACTCAAGGTTCTGGTTCTGATCATAGGATATTGCTCAAGGCGGGTGGCGGGATGCTAAGGATCAAACTCAGGGCGGGATGCTAAGGATCAAACTCAGGGTCTTGAGTATTAGGCAAGGGCTCTACCCCTGAGCCACACTCCAGTCCCTCACTGGGGATTCTAGATACTACACTGGACCACATCACACAGGCCACTGGTTTTTTTTTTTTAATTCTGAGACAGCATTTTGCTAAGCTACCCAGGTAAGCCTTGAACTTGAGACTCTCTTGCCTTAGCCTTCCTGAGTAGCTTCTGCGGCAGATCTGGGCCAGCCAGCAGTTTTCCCATTTGTAGACTCTGTTGCTGTACTTCCCAGAGAGCAGCTTACGTGAGTCTGTGAGTCTGTCCTCTTTCCATCATGGGGAGGGGGGCCTGAGCTCAGGTGCTAAGCCCCGCAGGGAGAATCTTTTCCTCCTATGCCACTTTGCTGGCCTCAACATTTACTACTTTTCGGCTCTCTAATTTCCCGTCCCGGAGCCTCCTGTGGCATGGGTGGGCATGGTGCTGGTTCACCTGGCTGCTCCTCTCCCTGTGCAAGAATTTCCCAGGATCCCTTTGTAGCCAGTTGAAAAGTGTGGTAGGTGTCATGTCGGGTCACAAAACTTCCTGTGTAGTTCCCTAGGTGCGGGGTAAAGTGTCAGCAGGGGGCCGTGAAGTAAAAGCTTCAGGACTTCTGTGGGATGTAGCGGAAGAGCAGCATTTATCATGCTGAGCCACTGAGATGCAGAAGCTGTCACCGCCACACACCCTACGGCACCCACAGCTGCTTATGCCTGAGGCCCCAGTTCACTGAAACCATTTCCACAAGCCCCCCCCAAAGCCAATCTTGAGGGGCCAGCGCGATGGGACAGCTGGTAAAGGTGCCGGCCACCAAGACTGGTGACCTGAGTTCAGTTCAATGCCAGCCCTGCTAAGACTGTCAGGACTCTAGGCCAGCATGGGTTACAGAGTGAGAACTCATGTCGATAGGGAGGGGAGGCAGAGACAGCTCGGGGGATAAGCTGGGTACCACGGAAAGGTTGGACATGCTAGTGTGTCTCAGCTCTGAGGAGGCAGAGGCAGGGGGATTCTGGGGGACTCACTGGGCAGTCGGCCTCATCAGCGAGCTTCATGATACTAAGGGACCCTGTCTCAAACACCAAGGTGGGGGCTGAAGGGATGACTCAGTAGTCAAAGGCATTTACTAATATTGTGCAAGACCCAAGCTCAGATCCCGGCACCTGCATGGTGGCTTGTACCCATCTGCAATTCCAGCTCCGGGGAATCTGATGCCCTCTTTTGCCTCCATGGGCACATGTGGTGCACAGGCACATGTTCCTAAAAACACTCATACATACAAATTAAAAAATGACTGAAAGGGCTGGAGAGATGGCTCAGAGGTTAAGAGCACTGACTGCTCTTCCAGAGGTCCTGAGTTCAATTCCCAGCAACCACATGGTGGCTCACAACCATCTGTAATGAGATCTGGTGCCCTCTTCTGGCATGTAGCCATAACACTGTATATGTAATAAATAAATAAAATCTTTAAAAAAATGACTGAAAATGACAAGTTGGATGGTTTACTGGGGCATGACACCCAAGGTACCATGATACCTGCTGGCTTCCAAGGGTGTGTGTGTGTGTGTGTGTGTGTGTGCGCGCAGAGAACCCCTTTCCCTTGATGACGAGGTTCACAGTTTCGTGGTAAAGTGAGTGTGGCATCAGGGTTTGATTTGGGAGGAACGGGGGTGAACAGGAAAAGCAGGACTCACGGCAAGTTTTGTGGTCACAGGCTGAAAGAGAAGAGAGCTGATGTCAGTGACGTGGGGACATGATGGTGGCTTTAGAATTTAACTGGGAAGGGAGCAAAGGAGGGAGGGGCAGATCTGGGGGGGTGCTGGCACAACGGGGCTCTGGGAGTCACAGAGGAGGGCTTTGGGAGGGCGGGGACCATAGTGAGGAGACTGGGGAGGCACCTTTTAGTTCATACTCTTTTAACGCTTTCTTTAGTTCCTTGATGGCATGCTCCCTGAGGCTCACCAGCTCTTCCAGCAGAGGACCATCTGAGGAGGGAACAGATGCTCATCAGTGCAGAGCCCCGTCGAGCTTACAGAATGAGTAGACTGGGCCACAGAGATGGTCCTGTGGTTAAAAGCACTGGCTACTCTTACAAAGGACCAAGGTTCAGTTCCCAGCACCTACACGGCAGCTCACAACCATCTGTAACTGCAGTCCCAGGGGGATGTGATGCCCTCTTCTGACCTCCACAGGTACTGCACACACATGGCACATAATACGTGCAGACAAAAACACTCTTACACATTAAATTTTAAGGAAGAAAAGAAAGTGCTTGTCGGGTCCCACGTGTAATATTTCAGGTAGTCCAGCCACAATATCTAGGGGCTCAGAGCTTCTATTGTCTTTTAGCTGTGGGCTGATTACCTCGGGTTGGCCTGGTCCTCGATGGGGAATGGCTCCTGAGAGAGTCTACATCCACCCTGAAAACTAATGAGACTGCTAATATGGAGTGTCAGAGGCTTGAGTGTGTGCTACTTAGGAGTGTCTCTAGGATTAAAGGGAATATTTCCTACCAGCCCTATATACATGATAATAGATGCCTTTTGCCATTACCCCCCACTTTTGGATGCTTAACTTAAGATGATGTGGACTCCAGTATTGACTGAGCGCCCTCCTGAGATGACCAGATGTCTCTGTCTCATCCTCAGTATTGTTGGGTAGCTAGGATTTCCCTAATCCACACTCTTCCACTGAGGGTCGGACCCGGGGCTTGTTCGGCTGGTTCCGACCGCAGCCCCAAAGACAGACATCAGTCCGGGATAGAGGGCTTCTACATCGTGGGACTAATACAGGCCAGACCCCGGCAAGAGCTCCAGAGTTTAGAGATTTTAATTTAGACTCTTTGCAAAAATGACCCGTTCAGTGTCCTAAAAGAATCTGAATTCTGGAAGGCACCCAAGCGTCTGGGAATTAAAAATACGTTCACAGACTGTGTGTCATTGAATAACCGCCTGTCCCGGTGACTCCTGGCACATGGGAAGAGCAGCTTATCAGTCTTTCAGAGATGCGAGGCTGGTCTTGCACTCACTGTAATCAGGCCAGGATTCAAAGTCAAGGTCCTCCTGCTCCCGCTTTCTGAGTTACTAGGCTGGCAGGCCCTAGGAGGACTCATGGGTGGAAAGTCTACTACAAATGTTATTTAAAAGACGGCTGTAGAGAGAAAGAAGGTGGAAAGGAAGAGAGGCTTATTCTGACCTTAAGTGGACCTGATGTTTACTCACTGCCTGAATGCCTACCTAGGAAGATAGGGTGCCGCCCCCTATGCGGCGGAAATGACCTCCCTGGTCTGCAAAGGACGCTGGGAGATGTAGTCTTTCGGAAGGAAACTATCAACAAATGCACCATTTATAAAAGCCGTAGTGTCTGAGAAGCACCGGAAACCAGAAGGGTGTGGCCGCCCACATCTTGTGATGGGCATCGTAGAGATGGGGTGTCCCGCATACATCTTCAACTCTGTGTGACTTTGTACAAGCCACCTGGCCTCTCTGAGCCTCAGCTTTTCTCCTTCTCTCTATGTCTGCCTCACAGCAAAGGGCACACGCGTTTGTTAGCCGCCCAGGGGAGACGCGTGCGAGTGCGGAAAGGGAGGCCAGGAGGGGTCTCCTACCTGTCAGAGAGTTCGTCTGTATGTACCAAGTCTGGTTCTTGAAGGAGGTCGCCACGCTCTCCAGTTGAGCCACCTCTGCAGACCAGGGGGACGCCGCGTCACGACAGCCGCCCGCCCCTGCCCCGGCCTCTGCCCCTCGCACCCAAGCACACACCCACTTTCCCCACGAACGCGTTCAAGGCGTAGTCCCTGAAGAACGGCCCCTCCATGCCCAGCAGCAGGGCCTGCGCGCGCGCCTGCAGCCCTTCCACGTGGAAGCGCTTGGGGACCGTGGCCTCGCGCAGCCGGCTGAGCGCACTTAGCACCGAGTGGTCGCACTGCAGGCAGCACCAGCTCCCGAAGCCGCCCAGGCAGCACAGAAGCGCTAGGGCCAGGGCCAGAGGCATGGTGGGGGCTTTGTGACATCACAGGGGAGGCCCCAGAACGCTCTCGAGATGGGCCCAGAGCTCTGGAATTCAGTCACTTAACACTGGTATCGAGCACCTGCTGGATACTGTTCTAAGTCCCCAAGAGCCCGAGAAAGACTGAGGAAGTCGTTTTAATTCACTAATCCAACAGATTTTCTTCCCTTCGTTCTTTCTTCTTCCTTCTTTTTCTCTCATACATAGTTTATTAATTCTTGAGGTTGGGTGTGGCGGCGCACACCTTTAATCCCAGCACTATGGAGCCAGAGGCGGATCTCTGTGAGTTCTAAGCCAGCCTGGTCTGCGTAGTGAGCTCCAGGACAGCCAGGGCTACATAACGAGGCCATATATATATTTTTCATATATACATGCGATGTATTTTGGTCCTATTCATTCCCTGCTCCCCCATATCCTCCCGTCCACCCCATTCTGTTTCTCTTTCGCCTTTCTTACTTTCTCCAGTACTCCCTTCATCCCTCTCTATTTCTCTTTAAGATAGTGTGTCATGTAGCCCAGGCTGGCCTTGAACTCTGTATTCACCTGAGGATGACTTTGAACTCCCAATCCTCTTGCCCCAGCCTCCTGAGAGCGTGAATTACAGGTATGCAGCAGCACCATGACTGCCTTATCTAACTGTAACTTAAAGAGTTGAAGGTGCCCATGAGACTGTAGCCAGAGATCTAACTATGCACCTGTGGCTCTGACCACGCCCAAATGGTGCGTACCTGAGGTTGGTGATTTAGGCTGGGCTGGACAGGCTCGCACTCTCTTGCTGCTGGTGGGGTCGCGGGAAACAGCCTGGGAGGATCATTGGAGCTGGAACCTCGCAGCCTCTTGTGTGTCATCTCTCCAAATAAACCTCACTTAACCTCTACTGAGTCCAGTGAATCTCGATTCCCACGCAACAATTTAGCAAGCTCTCAAGCCTGAGGACCTGGGTTCGGCTCCGAGGCCGAACCTGACTCTTTAAAGTTGCCCACCGACCTTGCATTCACCATGCCATGTGCCCCTCCCACAATGAAAACGTAATTTTTGAAACATGTTTAATATTGAACTTCAGGGTTGGAGAGATGATGGCTCAGGGGTTAAAAGCACCATCTGCTTTGGCAGAGGCATCTGAGTTTGGCCCCCAGCACAACACAGCGGCTCACAACTGCCCGTAACTCCAGTTCCAGGGGGATCCAATGCCCTCTTCTGGCCTTTCTGGGCATTACACCCATGTGCACACACCCACACTCACTCATAATTTTTAAACATAAGTTGTTTTTTTTGTTTGTTTTTTTTTTTTTTTTTTGATTTTTCAAGACAGAGTTTCTCTGTGGCTTTGGAGCCTGTCCTGGAACTGACTTGGTAGTCCAGGCTGTTCTCAAACTCACAGAGATCCACCTGCCTCTGCCTGCCGAGTGCTGGGATTAAAGGCGTGCGCCACCACTGCTCAGATGAAAATATTTTTCAAAACTCAAAAAGGTGACTTTAAGAATTATTTAAACATATGTTGTTTAGGGCATTGCTATTTCAAACATTAGATTTGCACAACAACCAACAGGAGATTGTCACAGTGCTTTTCTTCGAGTGAACTCTGTTCTCAGAACCACGTGTCACTTCACTGTCACGATAACTTGGGATCCATAGCCGTATCTCCTAGAGATTGTTTTGTTTTCCTAATGTAGCTAGTGAAGTTTGAAGTTACACATGTAGCTACCATGATTTTGTGAACAGCTGTGGCTGGTTTAGCATGTGTGGGGTGGATTGAATTCCATGTGATTAAGTTAGCTGAGGAATAATGGAGGACACCCAGGGTGTCATTGCTCCACACCACCGCCAGAGGTCGCTCACAATAGGCAAATTCTCTCTCTGACCTGTACTAGCTTGGCTCCCCTCAGCCCCCACTTGTCTGTCCCAGGATTATCCTGCAAACTAGCAAATTTGAGACCACAATTTGAGGTTGAGAAGCCAACCTGTTGATTTGTATGTGCTTCTCCTCTTCCACAATCAAAGTCTCCCCTTGGGACAGTGAACCACACAAAGACTACAAATTCCTCTGCTTCTAAATGCAGAACACTCAGATCCAGGTGTGAGGCAGGGAGAATCAGGACACGGAACTGGTTTGGTTTCTGGGATGCAACTATTCTAAAGAGTGATTTGTAAAACACAGTTAAATTAAATATCATCTGATGTTACACCTTAGAATTCCATCTTTCAATAAAGATGACCAAAGAATTTCCCTCACTGAGCTAGGTTCCAGCATCAGGAAGGCTGAGACAGGAAGATGGCCTTTTCTGTGCCTAAAACCTCCCAGACAGGGGCTGAAGGTGTGGCTCAGTGGTAGAGCCCCTGCCTAGAATCCCCCAGTGAGGGGCTTGTGGGTGTGGCTCAGTGGTAGAGCCCCTGCCTAGAATCCCCCAGTGAGGGACTTGGGGGTGTGGTAGAGTGCTTATTAAGCTGGCATGAGGCTCTGAGTCCCTGGTCTTCAAAGTAAATAAAAAGAAAAGAAAACCAGACCCTCGTGGTCCTGAAGCTGCTCACTCAGAGGCTCCTGTCTTTAGACCGTGTGCAATGTGCAGCCCCTCACTTCATCTGGCCCATTCGAAGTTGGCTTTTGTTTGTTTTTTTGGTTTTGTTTGTGGATGAAGCCACCTTCTTTCTGTCCCATGTCAGTTTTAAAAGTAAGCTTCATTTTTTAAAATTTCATTTTATGTTTGTGCGTGTGACTCTCGTCTGAGTCAAGCAACGGCCACCTGGAGAATGTGCAGAAGGATTACCCCAGCTGGGCTTGTTGACTCATCCTGGGGGTAGACAGGGTCAGGAGACCCTCACCTAAGTGTCCACTGCCAGTTGCCTGTAATGCTGCCTTCATTGCACATGACCTCTGGGAGGGGCTAGAGTTATGGACAGGTGAAGACCAGGGCAAGCTCTGCTTATGAAGTACGGGACAGCAGAGTAGGGTTTTTTCAGGCGTACCTTGTTGAGAGAGGGACACCCACACCCCTAAAAGCAGCTCATCAATGCCTTGTAAGGATCAGTGGTTTCCCCAGAGAGAACTTTAGTGGGACTATGCCTCTTGTTATTGGAACCTTAGGAAGGAGGGTCCACTTTGTTCACAGCTTCCTCTGGGAAGGGAGTTTTTAGCAACATACGTGTGTGTGTATGTGTGTGTGCTCGCGCGCACGTGCGTGTCTGCAGGTGCCGATGGAGGCCAGAAGGGGATGTTGCACCCCTTGAACTGTAATTACGGGTGGTTTATGCGATGCCCAGCATGGGTCTGGGAACTGGAGGCAGGTCCTTTGCAGAGGTCCTCCTTACTACTGAGCAATCTCTCCAGATTAAAACCCTCTCTTAGTCTGTGGGTTTAACTTTTCAAAAGAAAAGTGTATTCCCTCGTCCGTGTTAGTATCTGTGCACGTATGGCTTTCTCGTGTCTCGGGTGGGGTCCTTATGCCTATGCATGCATGCAAAGCCCGGAAGAAGAAGCTGGGTGTCTTCTAGGACTCCGTCTATTCTTTGAGGCAGGATCTCTCCCTGGACCCAGGCCTCCCACTTTCTCAGCTGGGCTGCAAGTGGGAGAGTCCCAGGGATCCTCCTGTCTCTTCTGGAGACGGCACTGGGTTACAGGTGACCACCACAGCCAGCAGCGTAAACAATCCACCGGAGGCCAGAAGGCAGTTCTCAACCGACTCAGCAGCTGTGTTGGTTCAGTCTTCAGGAGTCTCACTACGAGTTCTTTATTTGAATCGTATTTAAGCACAGCTGATTTGGTCAAGATTTTCCTAATGATAAATAACGCTATCCCATGTGCACACTGAAGCTTAGGACATGACTAATCAAAACTCTTTTTTGTAAAGCACATAAGACATCTTGTAAGCGTTTCGTCGGGATGGGTCAGGACAGGATGGAACAGGAGTGGGTCAGGTATTCTGGCACTCGGGAGTCACAGAATACTCAGCGTTACACAGCTCAGGTGGAAAGGTATCCTGGAGCTCGGGAGCCAAGGATACTGAGTGTTACACAGCTCAGGTAGAAAGGTATCCTGGAGCTCGGGAGCCAAGGACCACCACAGGTTGTAGTAAACTTAGCAGCTTACAGCCTTGCCTCAGAGAAAGGCTTCTCCGGTGTATCAGCTCCGCTCCGGCAGGACAGGGTCTTCCAGCTGGGGATGTTCGCCTAGTGTAGCAGTTTTGCTCCACAGGAGGTTTCTCGGGCGAAGTTGCTACAGTTCAGCTCTGCTCCTGGAGAGCGGAGAGCGAAGAGCAGGGAGCCGGGAGCAGAGTGTAACACCTCTGCTCTGCCAAGGAAGGTTTCCTGGGCAAGTGTTACAGCGCTGCTCGCTCTGCTCTGCTCTGCTCTGCCCAGGGTCGCCTCTGTTCTGTCGCCGCCGCAAAAGAAGACCTTCACCGGAAGCTCATCCAAAGGGGTTTATTGGAAGACAGCTGGACCAGCCAAGCTGAACATACACAGGGTTTATATAGGGATTCCTGGGGTTGGGGAAGTTTTTCCAGAGTAGGGATTGGTCCGATTTCAGTGCTGAGCTCAGATTGGCTAGAGCTCTGCTCCGGGATTGGTTACTTTTTTACACAGATTAGGGTCAGATTTGGCTCTGGTTTCAGGGCCAAAGTGTGTTTCTTTCTCTGGTCCTTTTTAGCCTTTTGGCTCCAATTTTAGGGCCAGGGTGTATTTCTTTCACTGACTCTGATTCCAGGGACAAAGTGTGTTCCTTTGGCACTGGTTTTAGGGTCAGGGTACATTTCTTTGGTTCTGGTTGCAGGGCCAAAGTGTGTTTCTTTGGCTCTGCTCAGGGTGTGTTTCTTTGACTGGTCCCTTTTCCCTACACATCTTCCATAAAGATGCTCTATAGATTAACATGATCTCGATAAGGGTCTGCGGAGGACCTGGTGTGGTTTCAGGCAAACAGAGAGTGCAAAGGTCACCAGCAGGCTGTTAACCAGGTCTGCTCCCAGCCTCTGGGTGGAAAACAGGTTGTACAT